ACCCTTTCTTCTAGCTCACCCTGCGGGGCTGGACAGCTCCCCTCGTAACCCCAGAACTGGGATCCATTTCCTGGGCTCAGCCGCGTGGCGCCTAAGACTCGCCTAGGGTCTCCCAGAATCTGCTACCCGGTCTCTAGTCCCTTCTTCCCTTTCTCCGCGAGGAGATGGGGGCGTGTGGTGGGGAGCACAGTAAAAATGAGAGAGGGGGCTGGGAGCTCAGAGGGCCTCTCAACGCCGCAGTAGCTAAGGCTGGGGGTTGGGCTGTCGTGGGCCGTGGGGGAAGGGGGTGCCTGGAGCTGCGCTCAGAGTTCTCTTTTCCTGTGAACACCCACTGATGTCAGCCCGCCTGCCAAAATCGAGGAGGAGATGAAGAGGGAGTTGGCCCTCCAGAGTCATCAGAAGGCCTGGGGATAGGGGTAGAGGGGAAACCAAAGGTCCAAATACCCTCCCTTCCAGGCACCCTTTGGGGCCTAGACCCACAAACCAGACTGAAGGCAGGGGCAAAAAGTAAGATTACTTCATTCCTAAGAAGGTGGCCACAACTTTTCAGGATCAAGGTTGTGAGAAGGGAGGGGCTTAGAACCGGCAATGTGTGACTTTAGTCATGAGGGGGTTAGTTATTTACAGAGGAAGAAGCTAAAGCTCAGGAAAAGAGCCCAGAATTTGAGTTCAGAAGCTCTGAGTCCTAATTCTTTTTTCCCACTCTCCAGCTAGATAGCCTGGAAAGATTTCAGTTACCTTCACAAATTCTCAGATTCCTGCCATGTAAAAGAGGGACATTACCCTCCTCACTAAACTGTAGTGAGGGTGACAGTGTGAATGGGCGCTGCACCCACTCAGCAGATGCTAGTTTCCTTTCCTCCTTTCCTAAGGACTTGCCTAAGGTCATACTGCTGAGAAGCAGCAAAGCTCAGCCTGGGGCCCCAGGGGCCCTGACTTCTGCCACACCACAGCTGTCTCTGTGTCCTGAGCCAGAGCTTCATTAGCCTGAAGCAGCCGAGGATCCCAGGAGCTGATTGGGCCATGACGTTCAACTCCAGACACAGCTGTCAGCGCCGAACTTTCCTAAATTACTCCCAGACACTGACCCTTGGACTCAGCTGCTGCTGTTGTCCCAGTTTTACTGATCCCTTCCCACCACAAATTATCTTTCATGATCTCTCTTCAGATCTTCAGCTCAGGGTCTTAAGCTCTTAAATCACGGCCACTGATGTAACCTGTTGTTCTTCCAGAGCTAGGGTCAAGAGGTTGCTTTAGCAAGGGATCCAGAAGGAAAAGGGCAGTAATATACCTGGCATGAGCCCTCCTGGTGAAGGTCATCTTTTGCAATGTGCAGAAAAGAGCCAGGTAGCCCTGGAACCACTTCAGGTCAGGGACAAACTCCATTCCTTCCCTCTCACCTGTGATTGCCCTTTTCAAGAAGGAAACATGGTCAGAGGGAGATGTCTAGGTGAAAAGATGAGAGGTGGAAGCAAGGAGGGGCAGAAAGCAAAATAAGCCATTTCCACTGGCCAGAAGCACCTGAGTCCACTGTGGTTTAGGACTGGGGCTGGGATCAAGATTAAAGTTGATAAAAACTTGGGGTTTAAAATAAGACCGTATGATGTAAAAGATAAAAACAAACACTGGTTAGGATTCTGAAAGCAAGTTTTGCCTCTGTCTTGCTGTGTAACCTTGGGAAGGCCATTTCACATCTTTGGAGCTCAACATTTTCATGTATAAAATGACCCTAGTCTCAAAAGGGAAAATATAAACTTGTGTTGTAATGTGGAGACCTCCAAAGGAGAGCTTACTGTAGCCTTTCCTGAATTGAGGAATCCAAACCTCCTGCTGGAGAATCTGGAAATTTCCTTTCTTTCTGATTTTCCTCTTCCCACTTTTTTTCTAGCCAGTTGGATGTTTGGCTGTTTTCATTGACCCCTGGGGGCATCCTGCCAACTAAGGTTCTGCTATGGGGGTCCTTTGGGGCTGAACAAGGACTAGAGATCTCACCTTTTCCAAGTTACCATAGGAAATAGTCCCATGATCTGCAGCAAGGGGACAGAGAAGGGCTTCATTAGGGACAGAGGCTGGTTCTTCATGGGAAGTTATGTTTTCCACCCCTGGGGACACTTCCCTTTCCTTTCTAAGCCCATTTCTGCTTTAAAATATATTTTTTGCTATAAAGATATACTTTTTAATTGCTAGTAATATGTAAGTATAGACTGGTTGCAAAATACTTAAACACAGAAAACTTTATACTTCCATTCCTTTCTAACTCACCTCCCTATGTATTTTGGACTTAAGAAAAAGCATAAATGGGAATTAATATCATTATTCAGTGACTGTTTAAAATTAATATATCTTGGGTTATCTTTCCATGATACCATATAAGGATGTGCCTCTTTCCTTTTAACTGCAGTATAGAATTGTCTTTAGTCTTTTTTTCTTATAACCGGTGGAATCTAGGCTTTAAGTTCCCTACACACTCCCTTATTCCTCTGTCCCTACCCTACTCCCACCCCAGTGCTTGGGAAGAGAAGGATTTGGTTCTGTTCCAGCTGGACATTGACCTGAGATTTCTGGCTCCAACCTAGATTAACTTCTCTTGGGCAGGGATACTACCCCCATTTAAATTTCCCTTCTTATTACAGGCCAAGGGCCATTCTGCCTGGAGAAAAGGGAGAGATGACTTGATCCTAAAAAGGAGTGCCACTTCTAATCCCCAGCCTTCCCCCTACATACACAAATCCAGAAGAACATAGGGGGAGTAAACAGCACTAGGGGCTTCCTACACAATGAAATTACACACAGAACATCCAGGAATTGTGTAGAGACATTCACAACATGCTGGCTTCTTCCCCAGCTGTCTGCAAAATAAAGAGCAGAGCTCAGGAAAAGGTGTGGGGGAGTCAGGGTCAGGGAAGCCAGAAGTTCTGGCTGGGAGGGGCTGATCCTTCCAAGCTGGAGAGAGGAAATAGGCTTCTTCAGAGGGCAGGGAGGCAGCAGGGAGAACCAGAGAGCTACAGGCAGGGAGCCAGCTGGCTAAGGGAGGGAAGACAAGGGGGTAGGGACACCACTACTCCATTCCTCCCAGGCCCTCATCTCCAGAATGATGGCATGAGGAGCAAGACCACCTCTTAAAGGGAAGAATGGTTATTGGAGAGAAAACATTGGCTCTCTTATAATATCTACAAGTTGTAAGTAAAAAGCAGAGCAAATGGTCAGGCCATATTCCTCATCAATTTCTGGGGACTTAACAGTAGCTACCATTTATTGAACAATTACAATATACTGCATAGTGTATTATCTGACACATATGCTGAGTGATTTGCAAGCATTTCTTAAAACTTTACCACTGTAACATCAGAATTATCTTGTCCATGAGTGGAAAAGGGCAAGAGGAATGATCTGTCCAAGATCCCAGAGGAAGTAACTGGCAAAGTCAGGATTTGAACCCAGGACTGCATGATGCTAAGCTTTATGTCTTAACCATTAGATTTATCACCTGTTTCTCACTCCAAGTCAGAATATTGATGCTTTACTGGGTCTGGAGGGGAGGGGAGAAGAATAGATAGTTTCTTCTAGGACCAGATTGACCCCTCCAGAAATAAGATCCTGCTTTACCCAACTGTGTGCACAGAAGCTGCCTTCCTGCTTCCTTCCCTGAACCAGGCTGGACCATGACATCACATAGAGGAGGCTGTTTTTTCTGAAAAGAACCCAGGCCAGTTTTATAAGAACGATGTTCAGACAGTGTGACTGAAGAGGATCATGGCCAAGAGACCACAGCACACGCCCAGCAGTGCTGAGAACACTGTTGGTCCCTCGGCACCTGGGGCTGACTCATTGCTGTCAGGACCCAATGCCAGATGCCAGGATTGCTTTCACCCTTCCTCCATTCCTCAAAGCTGTCCTCTGAAACTATCCCCAGGAACCTTCCACCCTGTCCCAGCATCCCAGAAGTCTAGGTGTTGTGTAACATGGGGGCGCCTTGAGGAAGCCAAGCAGGGTGCTCAGAGCTTCATACAAATTGTTTTCTTTACAATGTACAACTCTATTAAGTTAGGTACCATAATAACTTGCTTTACAAAAGAGGAAACTAAGGCTGAGAAAGGTTAATCCATACCTGAAGGCAGTCAACTTATTATTCAACCTGCTAGGCAGAATGAAATAGTAAGGGATGAGGAAGACTGGCCAGGAGAGCAATCACATAGGGCTCCTCATGGCACAGGGGGCCTTCCCCACTCAGTATGACCCCTGTCCTGTCTATGCTTACTTCACCAGCAGACAGTATCTTTTCACATCCTTTCTCCCAAGACCTTAAGGCAGTAGATACACAATGAAAAAAAAAAAATCCATGACATTACAAAATAAATCATTTCTTAGATCATGACAAAGATCCAACATATCTAAAGCAAAGAGGACACTACTTGCTTTAGATATGTTGTACATGTTAAACACATGATATGCGCATGTGTGTTTAACATATGCAGTGTGTGTAATGTCAGCTTGAGTGATACTGAGACAGGACGGGGGCAGGGCACAGCCACTCAAGGAATAACAGCAATTTAACACCAAAATGGTGGAAGATTCAACCCCCAGTAGGCCTTGAGGCTCAAGATGATGGGAGATTTGACTTCTAGCAGATCTTGAGCTTCATTATATGCCCATTGTCCCATTGTAATATATTAGCATGATAAATAACATGCCCACAGGCGCCATGACAGTCCCAAGGCTAGCCACAAAAGGTCAAAGAGTGGGAAATGGTCAACTTCCTGGGAATCCCAGCCCCCTCCCCAGGCTAGTTAGACTGGTCCTTCCACTTATTAGCATATGAAGCCACCAAGCCCATAAAAACTGGCAACACTGTCCCTCGCAGCGGCCACCCTCTCTCTCTCTTCCCCTCCTTCAGAGAGGGCCTGTGCTCTGTCTGTGGAGTGTGTACCTACTTTTACTCTAATCTGAGCACCCAACCCCCACACCTTGTGGCCATTCTCTTGCCTTTCGTAGTGTCTCTCTAATTAAATCTACCTTTACTCAACTGTAGATCGCTCTTGAATTCTTTCCTGCATGAAGCCAAGGACCCACACTTGGCGGGGCACGTCCCAAGGGCTTAACCAAAGCCTGGGACATGGCCCTCCTCATGCCCCACATCCATTTTTCCTTCATCAGTACTATAATAGGTAATATTTTCCTCATCTTTAAAATGCAGGAATAATAATAGTATCTATAAGTTACAAGTTAGAGGAGTACTTGGCCCATAGTCAAAATATATAATTATTATTACTACTACTACTACTACTACTATTATTATTATTATTAATATTCTATTGTCTAGGTGGTTAACAGCACACACTTTGGGGTCAAGCAGATTTGAATTTGAATCCCAGCACAATTACTTATTTAGCTGTATGTGATCTTGCACAGTTTACTTAACTCCTTTGAGTTTGTTTTCTTAACTGCAAAAATGGGGTTACTAACGTGTATCTCACTGAGCAGTAGAGATGATACATGTTAAAGCATTTGGCCCAATGCCTGGCACTAGTAAGCATGTAATAAATGGTAGTTGCTCTCATAATGTGTCCTGACCGCATATAGTTATAAAACTCTATTTCCAAGATATTCTGCGATCCTTCCAGTTTCATAATTTTGTTTTTTTCATTACACAACACTCTTTATTGAAAAGACTACAGACTTTGGAGTCAGATAATCCTAGCTTGGGTTTGAATTCCAGCAATCCTACTTACCAGTCATGTGGGTACAGCCAATGTTGTCCATCTCTCCGAGCCTCAATGTTCTTCTCTGTAAAATGGGGATAATAATACCCACCCCCAGGCATCTTGCAAGGATTGCATGAGATGATGTAGGTTCCCATCCAGCCCAATATCTAGTGATTATGTGAATGCTAGAGGCATTTTGTTAATTATATAAATAAATGTGACATTTTTGTTTCTTTCCATACAGTGTCATGGATGTAATCTGTAGATGTATGTGTTATACTTTCTCCAAAACAGTCTCCATAGCCTTGTATCCCATCCTAGCTGCACTGGGACTCAAAAGGCCATGGTATCAGCAGCATGGGATCCTGCTGATAAGCCAAAGAAGGAAGAAAGGGAAGTAACAGAACCAAGGGCAACTCCCCTTTCCTGTCTGGCTAGGATTTGTTTGTCTTCCACACAGGCTGTACCCTGCTGATATGGGGGTCTGTCTAGTGTCCAGCTTTTTTTTTGGTGGGGGGAGGTAATCAGGGTTATTTATTTATTGGAGGTACTAGGGATTGAATCCAGGACCTCATGCATGCTAAGCGCACACTCTACCACTGAACTGTACCCTCCCCCACAACAGTGTCCAGCTTTGATTGCATCTCCATATATAGAGGAAGTTAGGAGCCCCTTGTCTTTCAGCAACTATTTTCCTCTGAATTTGCAGAGAAGAGTCCCAAACACATTTCTTTTTCTGGTGCCACTGGTGAGAGAAGAAAACCATGGAGAAAATCCAGACTCGTGATGTCAGTGGTAGAAGACCTCAGAGGAAAGAGGAGTTAGAGTGGAGTGGTTTAGAACACAGGTTTGGGGTCAGAATGACTGGGACAAAATTCTGGCCATAACTGGGTGACCTTGGGCACGTTCCAGGCTCTTTAAGCCCTGGTTTCCTCAGCTGGAAAATGAGTAAAAGAGTATTGCCGACCTCATATGGAACGAAGATGACCCATTGTAAAGCACTTAGCACAATGCCAGACACAGATTGAGTGGTCTGTATTTGAAGGCTATTATCGTTTTTCTAGCTCTGCAGTTTTACAGCTGAGGACCATGATGACCAGGAAGGAAGCACAGCTCATTAGCTGTCCACCCGAACAGGACTACTTCCCAGACAGGGCTGTGCCAAAGGCGTGTCCCGTGGGATCAAGTCCCTGCATTAACTGTGCCAAGAGAACGGAGAACAGGCAGCACCACCCTAGCTGTGGGGTTGGAGTTTTCAGAGTATGTGCAAAGCAAGGCCTGAATCCCACTCACGTAATCCCTCAGAGAGAGTCTCTTCCTGATGGAATTATTTATTTTGTAATTAACAAAGCCTAAGGAGGCCCTTTTTAATATTTTGGCTTGGAGTCTCAGAGTTTAAACTTCCAACAGCCATGGACAAGGGTTTATTGTCGACCTGTTCTTACTTGTTGAATTGAATGCATTATTATGATCCCTAAGCAACTAGGGGTCAGGAGCTAAGTACCTGAGGCGGAAAGCTGGGTTTTTGAGATGAGAGGACAAAATGTCCAGGACTGGAGTGGTTGCAAAAATCAAGCCATGTTTCCAGGCTCAGTAATGTCCAGACCTCAACTTGCTTTGGAGCTGCCTCTGCCTCTTAAGTGTTCAGGGAGGGGTCTGGCACTTCTGCTGGCCACACTAAGGCCTGGGCAGCAGCCCCAGTTTCTGGTGACCTTCGTGCAGGGTTTTAGGTTGTGCTTTTGCTTTGTTTTCTTGTTTGTTTCTCCACAGCAGGGTGGCCTTACCCTGCTTCTGGGTGGGAAATGGGGGAGGAGGGAGGATGGTTTGCTCCCATCTCCACAGCTGTGTTTACACTTCTCCGTCAGGGACTGTCTGGGGCCCAACTTTTTCCTCAGTCTTCTATGTCCCCTCGGAGAAATGCTATTTGATATTCCTGTGGGCTTTACAAGGGAGGGGCAGAATGAGCCGAGGGGTCACCATCCAAAGGGGGCTGGTAGGAAGAAGGGAGAAAATTTGGGAGGAAGGAAGAAATATTGCAGAAAACTCTGGTTGAATTATGGGAAACATCACCTCCTTCCCCTTTTTACTAGTGGCCTGAAGACCAGCAGGGAACAAAAGTACACTGAGAACCTGCCTGCCCCCAGGAGGAACAGAACACGTGACATGTCCTTTCTAATCACTGAGTGGAACAAAATCTCTCGCTTTGTGACGGAGATGTGAGTGCACGGAGCTGAGCAGTCTTCCCTGAGGCTGCTTTGGGGCCAGTGGTGAGAGAGACAGCATGTTAAAGCCAATAAGATCATGCTAAAATACACGCAAATTAAAAAGGATTTTAAAAAATGGTCAAGTAAATAATGCTCTTCTTCTCCAGGGAGCAAGTTGAGCTAGTATTAATCGGTATACTAGTGTTGCTAGACTCTCAGCCAAGCCCAGGAGAATGGCTGCCAAGGCAAATCAGGCATCAGGTTTCAGAAATTAAACACATAATTTTATTTTTCTGCAATAGGGAACTTTCAGAAAAAGAACCGGCCCTATTAGGCTACTCGGCACACTTTGTCTAGTTTCTTTCAGCCCCAGAGGCCTCCAATTTAAGAGCAAGATGAGCAACTGAAAGCCAGGAGTGACACAGTTATTCCTTTCTCCCATTAACTGCCTGGGGGTGGGGCTGGGAGGAGTGGGACAGGGGTGATGGTACTGTTTTTCAAAGGTCCAGTAGCTGACCACTTGCCAACAGTTTTTCTACGAATTTATAGGACAAAGACCTGAAGAGTTGGAAAAGAAAAAGAAGAAGAGCTGGCCAAAGATTGGCTGATAGCGACTCATGGACCATGGGCAGCTAAGAGAGAGCTTGGTCTCAGGAAAAACTCTCCCATTACCATGAGGAGGAACCAACTGGCAGACAAATTTTCCCCAAGAACCCCACACTTACTTGTGATGTAGAAAGTTGTTTTTATAATCCTCTAGTGAACAAGGATTACTAAATCCTGGGTTTCGTCCTATGTCAAATATTGTGGTGGATGTGAAAGAGGCAGACAGCATGATAGCGAGTATGAAGTGGTAGTGAAGCACCAGAAGAGAGGGAGATGGGGGGATGGGAGGTGGGGTGCGGGTGGCAGGCTTAATGAGGAGGAGGAGCTTGCGCTGGGCTGCACACTCTGATCTACATCTTTGATATAAATCCCCTCACCTTCCTTCCTTTCCACCTCAAAATATTTTTGTAACCATACTTTCTTTGTTATCGCAAAACTGTATCTCTCCTCTTGTCACTTGGCATACTTCCAATGTGGTCCACTCCCATGGTGTTAGTCACCAACAATAAGTTGATGGTTCCCAAATCTTCTGAACATCCCTCCTTAGATAACCTACATTCTTTTTTTTTAACCTACTGTCCACCCCTTCCCTGCCACTTTTTAAACCAGAATTTTTCATTTCAAAATTATTTATATGTATAATGGCTCTCAAACTTGGTTACATAGTGGAATTCCCTGGGATGCTCTTAGAACTCTTGAAGCCCAGGCCATACTCCAGACCAAGTAATCAGACTCCCTGAAGGTTGGAGGAAGAAATCAGTAGTTATTAAACCTCCACAGGTGATTTTAATGTGAGCCAAGTTTGAGAACCACTGATCTAGCAGGCATTTGGAATTGAAAGGAACATCATTGCAAACTGCCAATTTGAAGGATTTGTTAGTGAACTGATAAAGGCAAAAGAAAAACAGTTAAGTCAAAGTTTCTGATATAAAGAAAAGAACACTAAATCTGCACTCAGAGACTGAGTTTAAGAACTGACAGGGAAAATTTTCATCTACGTAAGGCAAGTCTTTTTACTCCTTTATGCCAGAATAGCCTTGTGTGTAAAACTGAAATTCTCCCTACCTACTTCATAGAGTTGTTCTGAAGATTACTTTTTTAAAAAAAAAGAGCATTATAGGCTTTTAAATTATGTATGTGGAGACAAATTTAAGGTAATATTATTTTGGGTTTTAAATTTTAATTTTTAACTTTATATTTTGAAATAATTTCAGATTTACAAAAGAGTTGCAAATGGTAGAGTTCCTATATACCCTTCAGCCAACTTTCTCAAATGTTTGAGGGAGTGCAAGTACCCAAACCAGGAATTAAGTTGACAAAATACTATTAATTAATCTGCCGACCTTATTCTAATTTCATCAATTACCCCACTGGTGACCTTTTCCTGGACCAGGATCCAATCCAGGATCACACATTACATTTAGTTGTCATGTCTCCTCAGTCTCCTCCAATCTGGGACAGTTCCTCACACTTTGTCTTTTATAACCTTGACATTTTTGAATGTCATTTATTGTGTAGTTTACCCCTTATTTTGGATTTGTCTGATGTTTCCTCATAACTTAATTCAGCTTATGTATTTTTTCAAGAATGCTACAGAAGTGATTTTGTGCCTTTCTCATTTCATTATACTGAGAGGTACCTATTAAGAATATCTCTTAGTACTAGTGATGTTAACTTTGATAACTTGACTAAGGTGATGTCTGCTAGATCTCTCTCCTGTAAAGTTAGTCTTTTTCCTTTTGTAACTTACAGGTATCTTGTGAGGAGGTACTTTGATTCAAGGCAACTAATTTGAATCTGGGAAAATTACTGACAGAATTAGGGAAGGTGGGTGTAAATAAAGCAAGAAAATAATTTAGAGCCCATAGACGGGTGTTTGGGGGTATTGGTGAGTGTGAAGGATCTGTATGAGGGGGTTCCAGGTTGGTTTCAAATGCTGAAGTGGCTTGTCATCCGCGGGTGGGTATGGTGCAATCGCTGGATAAGGTCCTCAAGAAAATGTAAGTGTCTCTGAAAGGTTTCCAAGAGCCCTTCCTGTCTCCTGACAGCGCCACCTTGGAAACTGTCGGGGTCGGATTGCACCCCGTCGGACTCTCGAGTTAGGGGTACTGGAGCCAACCGGCAGGCATGCGAAGAAGGAAGCCCAGGCGGCCAGGCCAGCGTGGGGGCGGGAGGTGCAGTGCGCACGCGCCTGGAGGAGGCGCGGGGCGGGGCGGCGGCACGGGGGCGGGGCGGCGGCGCGCAGGCGTCTTAGCGGCGGGTCCCTGCGGCTCGGGATGGAGGGTGAGTGAGTAAACAAGCCAGGGTAGGGCGGTGGGGCCGGGCCTCCTCACCTCGCCGCCCGGGGCCTGAGGGAAGGAGAGGCGAAGGGGTCAGAGACTTGGGAGGAAGCGGAGGGGCACACTACCTGCCTGGCCAGGGGTCACGGGGCGCCCACTCCCCATTCCGAGGGCTGAGGGAAAGGGGGCGATGGGGCGAGAGAGCCCCCGGTGCGGACCGCGTCTGCGGCGGGGAGGGCGGTGTGTCGGGGAGGAGGAGCGGCGGGGGCGGGTCCGGGGACGGGGAATCCCGTTGGAGGGCGGGGTGGGCGGGAGCCCCAGTGCTGGGAGGGCACGAGTGGGCGGTGGTACCTGTGGGGGCCCTCAACGAGGTGGACTCCCAGGGATCTGGGCAGTGCACGGGGAAGGCCATACACGCGGGCTCAGCTTGCGAAGACTTTGCGGGGTGTTGAAGAAGCGGTGGCAATAAAAACAGGGCCAGGACTAGGATCAGGCGAGTGAGGCTGCTAAAGCGCAAAACGTAAAGGGGCGCGCATTCTTGGGGTCGAGCCGGTGCCGCGTGTCTCCTTCGGATTTGCGCGCAAGGCACCCAGCTGGCCTCCCCTCGGTCCCTGAGAGGCGAGTTCTCTCCAAATTTGGTCTCGCGCCAATCCCTACCCACCCCAGAATTCTCTTGGGGATCAAATGATATAAGGGAACGCGCCTTGAAGCAAAGGCAAGGTGGCGTATGTGGGACATGCCTGTTACGAAATGTGGGACAAACTTATTTCGGTAAAAAGTGACTGCTGAGAAATGGTTTTGGGGGCGGGGAGCGGATGGGATGTGTAAGGATGATGAAATATTGAGAATGGGCTTTTGATAGGTGAAATATGGGATTGTAAGTGGAGTAGTCTAGGTATCGAGTCTAAGGCTAGAAGGGTGGGGAGGAGGGCTGAGAGCCGAGGTAGGCGGACAACTGGGTGCGTTCGAGGACGGCGTTGAAAGTGTGGGTCTCTTCTTCCGCATTTGCTGCCATGATGCCTTTAACGATAAGAACCTCCCACTCAGTACTTTAAAGTTTAGAAAACAGGCATTGAATAAAGTTTCCGGCCTGAGAAGTGCTAACTCTACCAGAGGTTTCCGTGAGAGTTTATTTTAAGCCTTGGAATCCCCAGGGCTGGGATGGAGTGGCATTGATAAAAGAGGTTACTTAATTGCATAGGAGAAAAGTGCGTATTGGGAGTATTGGGAGATAAAGTACTTTTTTTTAATGCATTAATAATAGAGGAAAGGATCATCAGTAAAAGTGTTATATTATTATTGTCAGGTATGTGCTGAGTGTATCACAGACAGCGTGAATTAATTCTCCCAGGGCAGAGATGTTTTATTCACTGATGTACCCTAAGCACCTAAACCTGCCAGGCACACAGTAGGTGCTCAACACATATTTGTGGAATAAATAAATAGTAGGAAGATCTCTAGGACTGGGAGTTGGGAGATCTGGATCCTAGTTCTGCCACTAACTTGTAGGCCAATCATGGACCTTGGTGCTAAGACAGACCTTTAAAACTTCCTGGGGTTAGACTTTTTGAAATAAATTCTGCTTATAACTTTTTAGTTAAATGTATCTTTATATACAAATGTAAAGCAACTATTTTAGAATAAATATTTTAGTGAAATACCATTAAAAAAAAAACTCCCTGAGATGGAAATGACTTTTTCATTATGATATTATTTTAATTCTCTTTGAAAGAGCGCTAGAATAAGGAGCCTAGGATTAAAAATGAAATTTTGTTCCCTAGAAGACATTTGTGAGAAGGGAAAAGGGGGGAAAATGTACTTGGACTTGTTTATCTTATACTTGCCTTTGAATTAGCATGGCTTTAAAAATCTGTTTGAAATATAGTTTTTGTCCCTTTAATTCTTGGAATCTGAAATCCGGCTTCCTTAGTTCTCTGAGTAACAATTCTTCCCTTGATTTGTGCCTTATGTGAAACATATAACAATTTATTTCACTAAGTATATCTTTTTCCTGTCTTATGTTAGGTTTTAAAAGTTTCTACTTTGTTGACTAGCTGCTTCCCAAACAAAGGTTTGAGGCAGCAACACTAAAAACACATTACATGTCTACTTAGGATAGTTAAGTTACAGAGAAAAGGGGTAAAACAGGGCAGAGGACCTGAACAGGCATTTTTCCAAAGAAGACATACAGAAGACCAACAGGTACATGAAAAGATACTCATCATCACTAATTATCAGGGAAATGCAGATCAAAACTGCAATGAGTTATTACCTCACATCTGTCAGAATGGCTATTGTTAGAAAGACGAGAAATATAAAAGTGTTGGTGAGGATGTGGAGAAAACGGAACCCTCATGCACTGCTGATCACAATGTAAGTTGGTACAGCCTTTATGGAAAACAGTGCAGAGATTCCTCAAAAAATTGAAAAGTAAGACTGCCATACGGTGCTTTCTTCCTTGGACAGCACATATACTAAAATTGGAATGATAAAGAAGATTAGCATGGCCTCTGCACAGGGATGACATGCAAATTCATGAAGCATTCCATGTTAAAAAACAAACAAACAAAAAAACCTGCCATACAATCCAGCAATTCCACTCCTGAGTATTTATCTGAAGAAAATGAAAACATTAGTTCAGAGAGAAATGCACTCCAGTGTTTTCAAAGCAGCATTATTTACAATAGCCAAGATGTAGAAACAATCTAAATGTCCATCAGCAGATGAATAGACAAAAAAGACGTGATACACACACACACACACACACACACACACACACACACACACACACACACAGGAATATTATTGGGCCATTAAAAAGATGAAATTTTGTCATTTGCAACATTGGTGGACCTGGAGGATATTATGTTATGTGAAATAAGTCAGACAGAAGAGGACTAATATTGTATGTATTCTCTTGTATGTGGAATCTAAAAAAGTAAAACAATGAATAAAATTTTAAGAAAAAATATGTAGAGAAAGATGAAGAGAATTATACCAGTTAGATTAGGATTGAGGGGGAGGGTTTGAAAGGGAAAAACCTGTTTAGGAAATACCTCTATACCAGAAAGTGCCTGGTTTTGTTTGTTTTTAATTTGTCCAAACTGTATATTGGGCTTCTTCATGACCTCTTTAGTCCATTAGCCTATCAGCCAGGACTTCAGCACTCCAAATCTTAATGTCAATAATTTCTTAATGGGAATAATTTCATGCCTGTGATGTGTTGTGGCCTGTGACACACTTGCCCTAATATTTTGATTCAAAATGGAATAACTGAAAATCTTATTTTATTGAATGATAATGAGCAGTCAATAAATATTAAACTTTGTGCTAGTGTAATGCAGAACCATCCAAGGTAGAGCTCTAGCCCATTAGGAGATTCCTTTAATTCTTCTGTATCAGCGTTGTAAATCCTAAGAGCCAGTGTTTTCCTTTGGGTCTCATGAAAGCTAACCCTGCTTTGATTTTAATCATCGTTGTCTCCTGTGCACGTGACCCGATTCTCTGAATAAAGCAACACTAGAAAATATTAATGCTGTAATTTTATTTTAAATAAGAATTCAAGGTCACAGCTTCTTGTTAGTAAGATTGTTTCTATGTATATAGGGCCCAGAAGCTCAACCTAATAACAAATACCTCGGAGAAGTGAGAGTGCATAAGTTAAAGATGTGCTTAATAGATACTAGTTGAAGGATCTATAAGGCTATACTTATCTAGCCACGAAGTTGATTTTAATGGAAATGTTGATGAAATTGGCGATCACCAGAATTGTGTGTTACTAGACAGTTTTTGCAGAGGATGTTCACCCCTACTGTTCATGTTTCAGCTCTACCATGAACTGAAAAGGAAAGAATAAGGTGGAAAATTAAAAAATCTGCAGTGCCATCTGCCTCCAAAGCCTTACTCAGCCTGCTGGTTAATAAAATTTTTTGCTATAAAAGATAAAGTAGTAAAGACATTGAACTTGGCCCTAAGACAAGCTGTTTCTGCAAAGGGGCACCTTTATGTGGGTGAAAGAACTTCCTAGTTTGAGATTTTTATATTCTGATCTCAATCTCTCTAAGTTTAAGAGTATTATTCCTTAAATATTTTATCCCCGAACAGTTCAATAATGTTTTCCCAATTTTCAAGTAGTGACAGACTACATTCTAGTTTCAGCCTTTGAAGCAAATTGAGATCTAATTTTCTGGGGAAAGATTTCTAAGTTTTTATAGCTTTCTTTTACTGTAGAGTTATGACATGTAAATAAGGTAGTTCTTATTTCCAATTATCAGTCTTTAAAAAAATAAACTTTATTTTTGAACAGTTTTAGATTTATCAAAAAATTGAAAAAGTAGTACAGGGAATTCCCATAAACTCCACATCCAGTTTCCCCTATTATTAACATCTTACATTAGTATACATAAAACGTTTTTTACAGTTAATCAACTAATAATGATCACTGTATTACTCATTCTGAAATCATTCAATAGTTTTTTTTTAAAGGTGAAATTGCTTACAGACTTTTTAAGAGTCTCTAGGGGAACGGTATAGCTCAAGAGGTAGAGTACATGCTTAGCATGCACAGGATCCTGGGTTCAATCCCCAGTACCTCCTCCAAAAATAAGTAAGTAAATCTAATTACCTACCCCCACCAAAAAAAAAAAAAAAAGTCCAACAACAAATGCATTTAAAAGAAAAAAGAGTCTAGAGAATACTGGATTCATCTATCATCAAGAAAGACCTTACAGCTTTACTGAGGCAAAAATTTATGTACAGTAAATTCACCATTTATGTATAGTTCAATGAGTTTTCATAAAAGTACTATCACCACAACCAAGGTAACATTTTCGTCATCTCAAAAAAGTTCCTTTATGCTTCTTTACATTTAATCCCTTTCTAGAATCATTTTAGTAGAATTTCATATAAGTGGAATCATAAAGTATGAAGTTGTTTTGTGTCTGATTTCTTTCATTTAGCATAGTGCTTTTGCAGTATGTTGTGCATATATGGGAACTGTTCATTCCTCTTTTGTTGTTTTTCATTCCTTTTTATTGCTGAGTAGTATTTCATTGTATGTATATATTACACTTTGTCTACATTCACCAATTCATAGATATTTTATGTTGTTTCCACTTTCTGGTGATTATGAATAAAGATGCTATAAACATTTGTATACTGCTCTTTATGGGGACATATATTTTCATTGCTCTTGGATAAACAATTAGATATTGTATGCCAGGTTATATGGTAACTATATATTCAACTTTTTTTTTTAATTGGCAAACTGTTTTCTAAAGTGGCTGTACCATTTTACATTCCTACCAGCAATATATGAGGATTCCAGTTGCTCCACATCCTTACCAACAATTGATGTTATAAATCTTTCTAATAGTAGCTATTCTAGTGGTTGTGTAATAGTTATATCATTGTGGTTTTAGTTTGCATTTCCCTGATGACTAATGATGTTGAGCATCTTTTTGTGTGCTTATTTGTCATTCCTATATCTTTTTTAAGTATCTATTCAAATTTTTTGCCCACTTTTTATTGGGTATTTTATCTTATTATTGAGTTGCAGGAATTATTTCATATAAAGACTTATTTTTAAACTTCTTGACCATAATAGCATATGTTTTGGAGTTTATTCCCAATGTATAGGTGAGCATAATGAAAAGCTCTTAGCTTAGTGCTTAACTGGAATATAAATGCTGTTTTGCATGTGTAAGTAACTAGAGAATAGATCTAGTAAAATTTAAAGTATTTTTTGTGTGCCACTTCCTTTGTCCAAGATGAATGAACCCATTTCTCCAAATCAGTTCTAGTGAATGCTGAGTTTTTTGTTTGATTATTTGCCTTTTTTTTTTTTTAATGTTTGAAGTGGTAGTTGGTTAGTGTCCAGATGCTATGAGAACCCATCTCATGGCTGTGTTTCAGGTGTTTATTTTAATCATATTAATCTGTTCCAAACAGTATGTCTCATTTTCCTGATACACTTTGTGGGGACTGGCCAACTGCCAAATAAACTTTCAGAGACACTGAAGACCCATTTTAAAAGCCTAGCAAAATAAATATTGCCTCATGGTCACATGAGATTCAAATGTCACTTTAATTGTAGAAAGAGGAAGTGTGGCTCATTTTACATTATGATTGCTTAAAACTCAATGACATTTTCGTGTGTATGTGTGTACTATTTTGGCCAAATAAAGCACTTGAGTAAAATTAGAAACAATGCCATTAATTATTAGATTATTGCAGTGTGTTTATTGTCATCTCTTTTGACAGCCTGTAGGAGATCACATTTCAGTTATAACTCCTTTTTAAATAAAATTATTGATGTTTTTTTGTGACCATCTCCTCTAAGAAATCTGCACACATATCCTAGCAACTATGGATTCTTTTCTTTTCCATTACTTGATCTCTGGTTTTAAATGGACAGAGCAACCTGACCTAAGCTTACTATTTCAAAAAGGAAAGCTTCCTAAAGGAATGGGAGAGGGATTGCAGTTCAAAACCAGTTTTTTAGGAGGTTATGATGTGTCGTTGAATTGTAACCCAAAACATTTGGGTCATCTGAGTTTTGATTGGATAACATGAGGTTTCTGAGGGAGGCAGTTTTGTCCTAGATTTGAACCATTTTTTCATTTCCTAGAGCAGATTATTATTAAGCTTGTTCAAGGCAGCAATTATATGAGCAACTACTTAATATTGCATGTGAGTGGAGAATATATTCTTCGTTTTTTCATTAAAAAAAAAAAAAAAACAACAAAGAGTCCCTCCCTCTTTTGTCCTCCATTCTAGAGAGGAATGAGAAGTACTTAAAAGATGTAGGAGGAAGAGAGATGCTGTAATTTATTGGAAAGAAATTCAAGTCTGCTTAATTTTTTTTTATAACCAGCACCTTAGGACTCTGGAATTCAGATTTTTAGATTATGGTGGTGGTGTTTGATTCCCTTCCCCTAGAGACGTAATATTTAACGCATAGAGAATTCTGTTTTTAAGAGCTTGAATCACTTGATTGAGTTAATAGCAAAGATAGCTATTCTATCTTTCCTTTATTTATCCTCTACCTTTAAATGCCTTTGACATAGCATTACACCAATACATTTGGTTCTTCAAATGAAACAGATACAGTCCTCTTAAAGTCCAGTTGCATGAGATACTATAATCATTACCTGATTGTGGCATACGAGTGACAGTGGGTTAAATTTTGCTGTTTTCTTATCTGTGCTTTCATTTCTTATGGGTATAACAGGCAATTTAAAAATGTTTCTAAACTTTAGTTTCTGTTTCAAATTTTGACTCTTCGTGGCTCCTTGTAATGTTTTTAGAAATTTAGAATGTTAGGTGAAATGAATTGAATTAGTTCTCCAGGAAACCTGAGTAGTTGATACAGAGGAAAAACATAACCTTACAGATTTTTTTGAATTTTTACCCATACTTAATATTTGTTCTTTCTCTAAAATAACTGATGGGCCTGCTGGTTGAGTCTAGAAGTTGGTTCAGACAAGCAGAAAAGTGCATTTGATAATTATGAGAATATTTTTGTATGTGTGACTGGAAGGATAGAATTTAGTAA